ATGTCACTTTATTTGTCGAATTAAATGGTAGGGTAACGCAGCACAGTTTTATGTGTTTAAAACAATCACATTGACTTATAACACGTAGTGTATTTAATTACACTGCCATTTACTCTTTTAGCAAACTTGTTAAACAATGTTAGGACATGACACTGATATTGATCCTTATTTTATTTCTACTTTTGTCCAAAACTCTTCTTGGGTCATTTGATTCACCCGTACCTTTTATGTTTCTTGGTGTCATCTCTGACAAAACCTACTGAAAAACCTACTCAAACCTACTGAGATAATGACAAATTATGGTCCATGAAGACTGACTGAAAAGGGAGAATGAAAAAGGAAACAACATGATTTATAGTCAGGAAATGTGAAATGCTCTGATAAAGATGTGGTTGCTACAGTCTGAGTCGGCAAAACCTGCTTAGGAAAGCTGCTTGTCTGTCCTCAGCCGTGCCTGGCACACAGGGGTCATGACCTGGTCATGAATCGCTTCTATCAGCTCCTTGCTGGGACAGGAGGGGAGGGGAGCCGTGAGCGCTTTTGATCTCGGTTGGCTAGTCAAGCAGCATGGGTAAGATATCTCCTGCAGGTCAGGCTCTGTGGGAACGGGGCTGAGGGCAGGTCAAGAGCACAGTTCTATTTTTCCTCTTCACCGAGACTCTGTTGAGCTCTTGTAGTGTTGCCTCAGACATGTTGGGTTAGAAGTACACTCGGCTATAAATTTGGAAGGTGTTCATTTATGCATCTAGAGCATCTTGGTCAGTGTAGCGCCCATAGAGGACCGCAACAATTATTTTACTTGCTATTGTTATCAAAACAGGTAGTATAAGGAGGAGTGGACATTCTCATTCTAACAAGCATTTGAATGGATTTTATTTATTCATTATAAATTCATACTTTTATTTAGGATGGAAGCATTGAATTGATTAAAAAAAAATACATATGTATGTTGACATGTGTAAGCTGTCCGCCATATTGGAAAACCACTTGAGAGGAAGTTAACCGTTTATCTGCAACCTATTTATTCACATTTATGAATATTTGTATCTGCAATAAACATTAGCAGATGATTTTTACTGCATTTAGTTAATTATTAATGTGATAATTCTGCATATTGAGTTATACATAAAAAGACAAACAAGCACATTCTCACACCTGACAGGTTATCACATTTCATCAGGAATTTATAGCTCTGTGCTTTTTACAGCCTTAGGCAGCACAATGCTGTGACATTTTCACTGTGATAATTTTGATGATTATTGCTTACAGTAATTAAAATCTGGGGTTTTCATAAGCTGCAACCCATAATCATCAAAATTATAACAAATAAAGGCTTGAAATATCTCACTTTGCATGTAATGAGTCTATATAATATATTAGTTTCACCTTTTAAGTTGAATTACTGAAATGAGCTTTTGCACGATATTCAAATTTTTCAAGTTTCACTTGTGTAGCAATTTCAGTGAAATACCTTACTCACCTGTTGAGTAATAAAAACACCTCTCCCCATCGCTTTTACAACATTTCAAAATCAAAGCCAATGTTGATTCTGGTTTTATTACGAGCTCTGTTGTGTTCTCTTCTTGGCACATACCCTCCTCTACTTGGCGTTATTTTAAATGGGTGAGTCCCCAGAGGTAGTTTGGAGACTAAGAGTATGTTTACAGAAAACTTTTTATGCACTTTTTGGCCGTTCATTTATACATAAAAAAATCTTGAGCTCAAACTTGATCTTTTCCTACTATTTTTAAGTTGCTGTACTATAGTTACTGTCTTTTGTATTGTCAGCAAAAAGTGAGAAGTCATACAAAGGCAAAAGGCAGTAACTTCCACATTATCAATATTTAGTTGCTGATCACCATTAACAAAATCGTAGGCACACCTGTATAAAATCTAGTTAGCATGGCACTTATTTTGTATGATTTACAATTATTTATAGCCATCTACTTATTGCTATTCTGTGCTTTGGTTGCAATCTGAATCAACTCTGTATCCTTCGGGATCGACAAACATATATCAGGTAGTTTTTGCTCTCGGGATCCCCCTACAGTTGGGAAACAGTATTGTCCTCTACTACTGTCGTAAACTCTGTCATCCTACATGAACGTGCATTTGTTGACAACCATGATAGCCCTGAACACTGTAGGAGGAGGTCACACTGAGGGTGTTCTGCTTAAGTCGCGTGTGAAATGTCTTCATCCCAGGTACAGTGGCATATATTTCAGCATGAATATGAATATAATTTCATGGGTTTTATTTTTTTTTTAACAACAAATGATTGCGATGCTCACGTTTACAAGCCAGCATCATTATAGTAGCCTATTCTATTGTTGTACCGTTTTACTGAATCTATATGATGCTTCAATGCAATGTTTGAGTGGTAGATAATAACCATATCGTCAATATTATAATATCAAGCTACCATAAATGAATCTGCAAATTTTTCAAATCGATTTGCATTATAGCTTGAGGCAAGAAAAATAAACGAACATGTTACATCACAGACATGTTAGGCATCCTAAAATATGATTTTGTACATCTTATATATTTACTTGCAAGAATGTAGCCCCTACCAAACTTGTACACGCCGTTTAGAAGTTAAAACACCAGTTAACTTTATTTTGAAGATAAACAGAGGATAAGATAGCTTCCGTAACATAGTAAGGCAGACAAAAAAAACTAAAACAAAGAGGTAGTATGCAAGCAATATAACGTACTTACTAGTCCAAAAGCACGCAGCAAGTATGCATCGGTTGGCCCCCCTCCTCCTTCAGCTCACGCCAGAAAACGCTGGTTCAAAGTTGATCCTCGTTCTGCCTTCAACGCGATCACTTTTTCTCTTTTTGCTTTGCTCCAATAAAACCTTTGCTTTCTTGTTTTTCTGTGCTGCTTCGGCCATGACTATAACATTTTAAGGAAGTGGGGTGGTGGTGGAAGTGACGTATATGCCATCAAGCAGTCGAATTTTGTAGTTCTCTTTGTTTGCCGGTTACTACCCAAAACCCGACATTTAAAAGTACGATTAAAAACGCAACAGACCCCGTCAGGCTATGGCAGACGTGTCATTCAACCTATTGTAAGTCGATGTACCATCACAAGAGACTTGGAAATATATTATGAAGGTTGAAAAGTTCCCTGGTGTTGCTTTAACGGTTTCCTTAATAAACACTACTTCAATGTACCAGATTAAAGAACATCTTTGTACATCTTTAAGTCTAACAAAAAATAACCTGTCAATGTGTGTGTGAGTGTTTGTGTGTATAGTCACAGCGCTGACAGATGAATGATGCTGGTAACCCTGGACTGCAGGCTTGATGAGCCCAGGAATTGCATAGGGCGCATTTCACCCAAACCTCCACCGCATTTCATCCAAACCACTTTATTTAAAACACTGGCAGAGACATCTATGTCAGTCTTTCTTTTCATGCCCTAGTTATGCTTTAAAAACATTAAAGTAAAGAACATTCTTAGTTATATTCATGTAAGAGGATGGTTGTTGAAACAATCATACTGTTAAAACTGCTTTATAAATGAAGGTGACTTAACTTGACCCTTCCTAACCCTGTCAGCCAATATTTAGCTAGCAGTTTAAGCATAGTGGTTTGAAATTAGCTAGGGTAGCTAATTGAAATTAGCTTAGCATTATTATGCATTATCTAGCATCACATATTGCCTAAGGAACTACTATTTAATAATATAACTCTTTATCTTCAATAGTACAGATACTAAACAAAATATAGTCTTGGTCAAAATGTTTACTTTCTGACCTCAAAATCTGTTTTTTTTTCTCTGTATATTCTGCATTTGCCTGCTTTCAGCCTTGAAAATCACCTTGCGTGAGTTAGATAGGAAGTAGGAAAAAAACTGAAGTGATCACATGACTCCTATCTTATGTAATTGGTGAAATTGATGGTGTTACAACTCTCCCCATGTTACAACCATCGCCAGTATCCCCTATTTTGAACTTTAAAATTACATTATTTTTACTCTATTTTTGATCTAATAAATGCAGCCTTGGTGAGCATGAAATACTTCTTTCAAAAACATTAAAACCAACCTCAAACTTATGATTTGAACTAGTATCTACAAATCCTAGATTTTGATTTGATAGGGTCTTTCATCTAAAGGAAATTGGTAATTAATGTGAAATTCACTTTTGAAGACATATCTGGCACAGTTCCTATTTATCAATCTTCTAGTGCAATACACCAGCTTACGTCATTGAAAACTAATACATGAACCAGCTCAGAAGACGAGCATCATGCTGGAATCAGTGTGTGGTCTTATACATTGACGCTTACTCTTCCCTTCACAGTGTCTCTTGACAGTACAGGCTTTTTAGCTCTGGATATCGTCAAGCATTAAGTGGCTGAGAGTAATGGGATACATTCTGGGCAAGCGGTAGAAGCCCAGCACTTTATGAGAGGTGAAACCAGGACAATGAGAGCCGTTTCTCAGTGCTGTGTTTACATTTAAACCACACCTGCTTCCTCCACACAACTCGGAATGTCACAGCACTCCTTCTCAGAGCGTTGCGGAGAAGTCAGGGAGTTTATTCGACTGATTTCTGGAAGGATAGTCCAATAGAAGCTTTTTCTAGAGGTATATGCCTGAGACTTAATCAACACCTAGAATCCAGGTGACATGAACCTGTGCACACTCAATTTGTCATGTGCAATGTTTCAAATGAGGCATATCCAGAGGATTTTTTTTGTCATATATTAGCAAGTCTCTAAGTAAATTACTGAGATTTAGAAATGCTCATTGATTGCTTGAGTTCTGCAGGTAATTTGCCTCTTCAAATCATTCAATTTTGACTGCTTTATGCCCTTATCATTGACTAATCATATTGGTTCTGCACTGCAAACTGCAGAACCATAAAAATGCAATGACATAGCGAGCACAGAATACTGAGCTAGTGTGGGAACACTTTGAGGATTTTGGTGCCACCTAGAGTCCAATTACATTTATGCATCAGAAACCACGTGATGAACAAAGGATGTAATTCAATAAAACGAGATACAATTAAATCATACGAACAAGAATACTGAGACTACACATGATCTTAAATCTAATCTTACTCGTCATAGCACTGTTAAGTAAAACGCAGTATGTGAATGGTTGTTAAAAAGTATGATAATTCCTATTACTGGCAAAGAAACCTTTCTCAAGAGACTTACAGGGAAAGTGACACCAGTCTACATCCTGCAATTAAAAATATCACATGATTTTTAGGAATAAGGGAAATCAAAAAGTGAAGTTAACATTTATCCCTTCTCGGAAACAACATCAATTTGATGTTGCTAATAAATGTAATCGGTGTTTCTTTGACTAAGAGCTCTTTTGGACCCTAAAAAATATACAAAACACTTTTAGATATACCTTTAATCTACTAACAACAGCAAATATCTATCCATCACAATTATTAATTCTGTCATTTCTGTTTTTCCCTAAAATCTTTTCCCACCACATCTCAAATTATTATGGCAGGAACATTTTAAACTTTAAAAAACAACCTCTAAACCAATTGTGTTAAAATTAATGTCTAAGGTAGTATTTTGTGCAACCTAAATACAGAACAAAAAACAATTGTCACACTTTTTGAACATTTTGACACATTACATCTTATGATGCACAATAAAAAAAATATATATTATCAACATAAGTGAACGTGATACCGTGATATGTGTAGAAAGAATCTATATCTTATAGAGTATGTGATCTCAAGAATTCACTTCATTGACAGTTGTCTCCTTAGTAAACAAATAAAAATAAATGCAAAAACTAATTTAACAGAGAGATTGTGAATCGATGTTAATATCAGCACTGCCTTATTTCAGCCAGAATGAAAAACAAGTCCCAATACTTCTTAAGTCTTCTAAGGGACTAAGGGAATTTGCTTTACATTTTTCAACTATAGCTCAAAAAGAAGAAGAAGAAAAGAGAACTGTTGCAATGGTTTTAAAGTTCAATTAAAAAAAGGAAATAAATCAAGTAAACCTTTCTTAAATAAAAAGTGGATAGCTTTGCTCATGCTTTTCACATATTAATGTAAGTCATATTTTAATAATTATTACTATTGTTTTGTTATTGAGGCTGCTGCCTGCTGTTATTGTGATTACCATTTTTAAAAGTCATTTTACAATAAGCAGAACTTCCTGAAGTTTAAAGAAAACATATGGAATGATCATTTGAGCACTACAGACACCATACTCTCACTTCCCACTACATTTTCTCAAGTGATCCAGACATCACATGATCCGTCAGACTCTCCACATTTACCTTAGCGCCCTGTCTTTGAGCACTGTTTGACAGAGGAGCCCAGTTTATCCGCGAGAAGAAACGGGCTGAGGTGGCAATACTGGAAAAATGAAAACAATGATTAAAAGTAATTCCTTTAATTGCTTCTATTAAAAAAGAAATATAACTTGTAAAGTAAACCTTATTTACCAAAAAGATAATGAATAAGCTATGCGCACAAGACAGCATATTTACCTGAGGAGTTCCGCTCTGGTTTGGATCTGGAGTGTCTAACATCGTAATATTGAAGTCTGTAGAGAAACGTGTGTTCTTGAGGATGGCGGCCATCTCTGCATCCACCTCCACTGGGACATTCGCCTGAAATCGAATTAGCAAAACCGACCACTGAATAGCCTAAGTCATACTAACATATCAAGAAAAAGAAAATAAGTAGAAGGTTACCTTGAAAGAATGAGAGGCATCAAACTCAAACCAGTCAGCACAGTCAGGCACGGTTCCTTTATATGTGACCAGAGCTTTGCTCTTGATGGAGTTTTCAGGCAGTTTAAAGATCCGGTAAGTTCCAGATGCGTATTTAACATCACCTATGATACGTCCCAGGTCATAGCATCACTAGTTAGAATTTAAAGCATCTGCCTGAATCCACGTTACATAAAAGTTCAATGACACATGAAAACAAGCTATAATGCTAGCACATACACAAACAAATTAAGAAAAAAAAAATTTAAACAAGTGGGTTACCAGTCTTTTTTTGAAGTTCAGGATTGTGAACCACAATGTGACTGCCTGCAACCATGTGGGGAGTGCTGAAGCCTATGTCCTTCATCAGAGCAATGAAATCTCGCCAGTAGAGGGCGCCAGCCATTCCCTCACCTGATAGTAGCAAGCACTCATTTCAATCCACTTCTTTGGGCCAATCAAATTCTCTTTCACATGGATGACACATTTCATAAGTTGGTGAAGAATACAATTTCAATTAAATGTGTTTCAATGTGGACCAGGGTTATATATAGTATGTATATACTGTAAAAATGTATATGATCAATAAGTTATGACAACATGTTTTTACAACTCATCAAAATAAGCGATTTTAACTATTTAATAATACTATTTAAAAATGTGTACAAGACGACTCATTTTCAATATGTAATTCAAGTTGATTGTACTTAAAAAAATTAAGGAAACAACGTTTTTAACTAGTTGCCAAGTAAGCATTTCTCAATTTAATTTCATTTAATGTACGAAAATGACAAACTAGATTTGAAATAATTTGATAAAAAACTAAATTGACATTTATAGAAAATAGACATATAAACATTTGAACTAGAATCAAATTTAAAAAAAACGATTTGAAATATTAATAAAATTTTTATTATATTTATCTGAATTATTAGTCTGGGAAAACCTAGACAACTTCCGGCAAATTTAGATTTGCTCTGCAAGTTAGTCTGGCAAAGAGCTCATTCAAACTCATTTCCAATCTGTCAATCACGGCACCAATCAGAAACGTTGGGGCGGGCTTTACACGATGACGACAGCACAGCAACGGTGAAGCAGATTTTGTACATTCACAAAGGGGTATGACGGTTATAGTTGAACACCGTCATTGGAACTCTATAACCGCCAAAACCATGTTATTAAAATATTTTTTTCACAAACATTTTTTTATCATAGAGAATGTTTAAATACTAATATCAGCTTACGAGTCAAACGGAGGCCGAGTTAGTGGTGCTTCAGAGACTGCTGCTACCATAGATATGTATAAAGGCTAGATGTGTTACGGCGGAGTTTCCATCGTCATCAACGGCGGCCATCTTGTCACAGACAAGCTGATGTAAAATGAGTGGTCAGCACGAACACAAATACTCTTATCTCGTTGAAATCTTGATAGATTTACAAACGGTTTGGTTTCTTACAAACGTTATTAACGTGGCTATAATTATCTGGATGATTATTTATTTATATACTTTTTATTCATAAGTATGCAGTGTCATAACTACATCTCTGACGTTTATAACAAATCGTTTGAAAATCTGTAGAAAATTGAGCAAGTTATGGTCATTTAAATAGTACATGTACCATTAACACAATGTTACGAGTGAGCGAGCTACCTGTGACAAGATGGCCGCCAAGTGCAGACGTTGATCTCCATTGGCCAGAAGCGTGGGCGACATATCTAGCCTTTATATACATATCTATGGCTGCTACTGCTGGAGATGATTCGGGAGAAGTCTGTGCACCTTTACTGATCAGAGCGCGCTGACACGGAGTAAAGCCTTGTTTATAGACGAATCCGACGAGCGTTCTTGTGTAGGCTGCCATCTTGTGGCGACGCCATTACTGAGCTGTTACACCGGCATAGACATATGCACCGGGATGTAAACAAACCTCGGAGATAAGGTGATAACGCACCCTTGATGACAGCTACAGCCAGGCAGACTTGTTGGGTTGATGATGTTAGACATTGGCCTCCAGTCACAGATGAAGGTACAAACGATCTTACAGATTATTTATGAAAATAGCTTGGCAAACAAGCTAGGCTAACGTTTGCTACCGAGGAAACTAAAAAAAAAGATCTGTCCATTTGGCAACAATAAATAAATAAATAAATAAATAAATGAAATCAAATAAACAAATTCATGTTTTTCATTTGTGTCCATTATTTATCTAATTTTTACATTGCAACGGGCATGGGTAAGGTAACGTTACAGCTAGAAAGTATACACAATATCGACCAACTACTGTTTTTAAACCATGGAAAGAAGTCAATATAACAGCAGGAGAACAATTATGTCACATAACGTTACATTCAGCTCAGGAAAGCCATTTAATGACCATAGCATGTAAATTGAATAGAAAAAATAACAAGAGAGGAGATTTTGCTGATCACTATATCACACATTTATTATATTTTTTTACTTATGTCATTAAATAATTGTTATTATACGCGAATGTCCGCGTCTTGTACTCGCCCAGGAAATCTGTGTTTACCGTACGGCACCAGACGGGCAGTCGACCCGGGGTATTCACAATGTTTTCTCTTCAAAATTGAAATTTTACTGCCACCATTGAAACAATTTATAACAGAAACTGTTTACCCACTCGACATTATACAAGGGCTAACGTTGTAACGTTAGTGTCAGTCGTAAATCTCGAGCTGTTTATTCCAGTGGACGCAAGTTGCAACTAAAACAATAGAAGGCAATGGCGCAACGCTACCCAGCAACAGCTCAGTAATGGCGCCCGCTTACTTCCGGTAGTTTCGCCGGATTCGTCTATACTCGACGCATCTGTACGCGCGTGAAGGTGCGCGGCAAAAATGACGCGTTCTGTGAGCAAGACCGACCCCATTCCCCTTGGCTATGTGCACGGCTTTTTTTTGTAGCGGCGCCACGTCCGAGGATGAACGACTTTAAGCCGAATCTGCCCGAGCATGTGCGTCTCACCCATAGACAGTCATTATTTTCCCCTCTTAATAAATCTTAACTCTAAACAGCCCCCAAACAAGGAATGCACGTTCAAAAATTTAACAGATCAGAGAATGTCAGAAAACAAAAAGAAATCAAGTTTACCCCACAGAACTGGATCTTCTTTGAAAGAGTCTGGAACTACTTTGCTTGCATAGATGTCACTGTAGTACAACTCTCCACCCTCCTATGAGATCATTCATGTGGAAAACATAGCTTTTGTAAGTGCAAGACTTCGTAAAGGGTTTTGTTGCATAAACAGAAGAATGAATGGAAATTATCAGTAGCTATATGATGGAAACATCTCACCTTTAGAACTTTGTAAGCTTCACTTATCACAGTTCTCTTATCTGGACACAGGCATATTACACAATTTGACCTAGAACAAATAATTGGCCTTTTTCACAACTTTTGCGCAGGCAGATTAATGATCTACAAATCATGGAAAACATCATGACCTAAGGGTGTGCATACACAACTACATCCAAAGAGTTGTTCTGTATCCCTGCATCACTGAGCTTCTCCATGTATCCTTTCACAAACACAGTGTTCGGTTTTGAGTATCCAAACTTCTCCTGATGGTACTGGATATATTTTTGCGAAGCAACAATCTTCATTATGGAGCAAACACAAAGGTTAATGGTTGCACTTTTTTCTTTCATATTGATTTACACTTTTCAATTATAGCATTTATACATTGGTTAACACATATTCACAGATATTTCGATTTTTTTTTTAACCACCATTTCATCCGTCATATCCAGTCCAATGACATGACCACTCTCCCCCACCAGTTTACTGAGGACGAAGCAGTCTCTCCCCGATCCACTGCCCAGATCAAGAACCGCACATCCTTCCAGCTTTTCTGGAATCACCAGGCCACAGCCAAAATACCTGCAGATTCATTTTCTGTGCATTACTGTAACAAATCAGGCAAAACTAAAGTTTTAAGGCACAATCTCAGACAGTGCTGATGCTTTACCTCTTGCAAACATCTGGGTGGACTAGTTTCAGGGCTTCACATGCACTCTTGGCCACGGGTCTGGAGGGCATGACACACGCAGCATTGGTCTGTAAGTCATCTGAAGTCTCCAGCCGAGAGCCATAATAATTCTGGAAGTAAAAAAAGAGTGAATCTTTTTTTTTTTTTTTCTGGTAGAAAATATATCAAAAGTAATTATACATACTGTAAAAGTTTATCCAGGAGGGCTTCTTACAACAGCTAGGGGGTCAATTTACTCCAGTAGGGGGTCATCATACCACTTTTAATATTACATTTTGTAACTAAATTAGCAAATGTGTCTATTTCTTTCCCATAATAACACACTGGCTGATGCATCATCATCTGGCACATGCTAAACTTATACTGTCTCTAATTATGTTACTATTTAAAAGAAAATCCACATTGTTCTTAAGGGGGGCATCTTCCACCATGTTACCTTACATATCCAAATGTTTTATTTCTGTAACCCAGGGGGAAACTACAGCATCGGATATTGCTTAATATTGCATGAATCCAGCAGAAATAAGGTTTGGCCATTTTTAATGTTCTTATTCTTTTTTTAACTATTTATTTGTAATATTCCTCGTTTAATGTAACAATTTTGTGAAATCTACAGAAGTAAATTATGGTAGCCTACTTGATGAGGAATATGATTTACACATCTTACAGATAGATGAGCAAAGTGGAATCAACTCTGGTCATGTGACTGAGTTCACATGAAATCAAAACAGCTTGAGATTTTAAGTTTACTTTGTCGACTCTTATGCAACTCAAACGTAAAAGTAGCTTATATTAGATCATTGGTGTAACCGATGGGATTAATCGCGTCGCTTCATTAGCCATATAAACATCGGGGTAACTTAACACAACGTTGTCACCGCTTACCTTCACGTTTTCGTGAACAGCAGAAGACATGCTATGGAGTTGTGGTTTACGCTGAAAAGCCAGAGTCCGGAGAAGTGTGGTAGCGTGCTTCATAAACGCAGTTATGCAAATGTAGCTAGTTGTAGTTTCTTGAACGTCTTCGAGTCTGTGCTGTTAAGGATAATGACCCAAAATCTAAAGGATTAGTGTAGCTACCGCAAAAAGTAAAACGGAATAAAATTTAATCCAGGGGTAAAGTCCTTGCAGATCCTGGATATATGAATTATCAACGCGTGTTATATCAGAAGTAACCACTAGAGGACGCGGCTGGTCCATAAATTCATGGCACACCTTTCTGCTATTACCATAAATTACAGGCGATTTATTACTAGCTATGTTTAATGACTAGTGGGTAGAGGTCCCTTTAAGTGTCTTCCAGACAAATTGTGGAATATTTCACCTTTAGTGTAAGCCTGAACTTATAACCTTAAATAAGTCTGTGATGATTTGTGTCCAGGACAAACATCTGTAATTCTAATAAAGTGTGGAGGCTATCTGAAGTAAACTATGGATGAAGAAGGTGACAATATTGATGTCTTAGCACAGTTAAAAGACAGTAGTGTGAAGAAGAGGCCTGACATGCTAGCTGTGATGAATGCAGACATTGTTACTCTCCCATGTGTGCATGCAACTGGAAAACTCTTCCCACAGTGTCCTGCTTGACATTAAGCAGAATCAGTCAGCTGTGACCTTACTCTGCCCTCAGAGTCCTGAGCCTTTTACCAAACAACAGCCTGTACTTTGATTAAAGGGTGGTCCGTCCAAGTATGTCTGGTTTCACCCCCTTGTAAGCAAATATCTGTGGGACGAGTCTGAAAGGCCTTTGTTGTCAAATACGAGACAATCTCTGTCATAGAGATGAATCATAGTCATAGTATTTTGACCTCAGGAAATCGATAAAATAAATGGTACACTCTATAACGTATGTATAAACAAATTAATAAACTAAAATTCTAAATAAATGTTTTAATAAAATAATTAATAATGCACATAAATTGGTTTCAACATTACCGTATTTATTTTTAAATATATATTTTATGCTCCTGAATGATTAATAAAGATAATAAACAAATCAATGTACATAAATGTAAACATTTATTTTATTACTCATTTCTGTGTTCCTAAATTATTGTTAATGAATTACCATTGTGTGCGCAATGTTCTACACAAACCAACTTGCCTACATACATACAGTAGATACAGATTATTTCAAGCCTGTTAAAGGAATTGTATGCTATTTGCACACATTCACGTGGCATCGGGTTTGATAAGTTAACCTGACTCTTTATCAAAGCTCTGTTTTTTTATTCCGTGACCCTTTGTAAGTGCATGACCACTGTACCGCAGACCGAGACATCAAAGCCAGTGTTCTCTGTGCGCCATTTCCACCCCCTTCTGTGTTCTCTGACAAACGAATAGTTGTCAAGCTCCAAAACTTGACCTCGTTCATGGTCCCAGACTTATTTGTTTAATTTCTGTTCCTTTTTTTGTAGTCAAGGCAAGCAAGAGGTTATTGTCAGTTCAAGCCTGACAAACATCTATGCTGGGAAGGGTTCGCTGCCAGACTAAAGGTTATGAGAAGTTGAAGGAAAGGGTAATCTTTGGAAGATCAAATAAAGTGGAAGTCAGAGGAGGGGAATGTGTACAGTGTCACCCAGTCAGCCTTTTCCTCAGCAAACAAAACCCCACTGTTCCACTTTCTGTCCTACTCACATGCACACGTACCATCTCTGAGGTCTTTTTTAACCTCTCCTGCCCTTTTGAACTCCTCAGACCATCTAGTTAAAGCAAGCTATTGCAGCCATTCAAGGTTAGTTATTTCCCTTTTACCACAAGAACAATGTATACCGGGAGAACATCAGATCCTGCTGTTTTTGACTCACTGGGTATGTTCACAGGTGTGTGTGTGTGTTTGTGTGTGTGTATATATATATATATATATAGTGTGTGTGTGTGTTATGTACTGTGTACAACTATTTTTCTAGTCTTAGGCCACCAAAGTGAGGACAAATATAGTAAAGTGAGGAAATTTTGGCTGGTCCTCACTCTCTGAGACCCCTGTTTGAATATGCAAAAAAAGCATTAAATTGTATGTGTGCGTATGGTGTGTGTCTTTTAACAGAATAAATATAATCCTTGGCCTAAAAGAGGCTTGAAAGCCTTCAGATAAAAGTTACTTACATCTACAATACGAGATATTCTCAGCGGTTCATTTCTGCATCGTCTCTCCTCAAAGTAATCTGGCATATCTAATGTGAGATATATGTTCATGTCATTTTCACAGGCATAACTGGGTCACATGAAATCTCTTTGAATCTCGGAATAATCATGATCACAGTCACAGAATTCCCTGTTATGAATCACAAAACAAGCCATATGAGGAAATGAGATAAATTTCACTGCTAAATTTAGTCCTAGTAAAGATGGAGGCACCCCTAGACGCATACTTTGCATTCGTCTGATGTGCTTAAGGTTACAAGGCCTGTTTAAGTGGAGACTTCAGGTATAGGGGGCATGAATGGGCTGTAAAGGAGCCAAGAAGTCATATTCCATGCGAGGAGTTCAGAGAGTCATAAATTACAGGTATGATTTAAAATCACCCGCTTAAGCACAAGGGGCATTAGCTATCATCAGCCGAGCACAGCATACTTTTTATGTACTGTTCCACATCGGCGGATACATGCCAACGGTGCAACTTTCTTTGATCCATCAAAAATGCATGCAAGCTCTTGTCCAATTACGAGGAAGAGGATCTGTAAATGTGAAGTGTCCTCCACTTAATCAGTGGCGCTGCTTCTTTACTGACCCTTCCGACAGCACTTTCCAGTTGTTCGGAGCTTTATCATCCCTTCCTTTACAGGCAAAATGATGCCTTTTAAACAAAGCCAAATCGGTTGGTATAACCTGAAACTCCAAAAGCTTTTTTATTATTATTATTTACACTCATGTATAGCACAAACCTCTTTTTGCTTTAAGTTAATCCCATCAGCTCTCACTTCAGCCACCCCCTACCCCCTCACTTTGACACATAAAAGGAGGTGTAGGCCTACATTATATGACCTAGTTTTGGTGAAAAAAAAAAAACATAAAAGAAAGCTCATATTCAAAAACAGGCGTGTGTGCTTCTCCCAGCTTTGAGCATTATTTAAAACCCCTCCCTCTGCTGCCCGTCAACGAAATACTGTATGCCTGGATGTCACTTTTGAGCTCTTAAAAACTTAAGTATTTAGATGTATACGAGAGCAGAAGGTGAGGGAATAGGATTTCTCTCCTCCATTTCCTGAGAAGCAGCAACCATGTAGGCCTGAGGCAGGTTGCTCTTTGTTGCAGAGTGTCCCTTTCTTCCAGAATACCTTTTTACAGTTCACTGATCTGTCTTGATGTTGGCCTCAGTGATGCACGAGGTCATCTCTGTCCTATCACTTCCTCTCATATCTATGTATGTCACTGCAAGTGCAACCGGCAGGAATTAAGGTCATGACTCAGGGACCAGCAGATAAAATTTTAGGTCAACAGCAAAGTTTAGTCAGCCAAAGGAAAGGTTTTTATGCACCACAAACATACTTTTTTTGTCGTATTGGCGTTTCGTTCAGACGGATCCGGCATTTTGGGACACTGAAACCGTTATTTTATGAAACCGGGTCCCAGGGTGGATAAATCTAAACGACACCCTTGCTTTTTCGTGTGTGCGGCCAATCCGTATATTTTGTGAAAAGATGATGTCATCACCTCAGTGTCGACTGCTCGTATTTAATAAATATAAATATAATATAATGCAGCAGAAACTACTGAGTATTGTATGCTCTTGTATTCCTTTATTTATTTTTTACTTGAATGTATTTTTATTTAAATTATATTTTTAGGCCTATACTTTCATTCGTATGCTATGGTGGTGGTCTGTTGTCCGATTTAAGACGTTTCGTATTTTGATAGGGATGGGGATTTAAAGCAAAAATAATATTCGACGATCGATGGGAATTATTTGATTATAGAGTGCTGAAGTTACGACATCACTTTGTAGGCCAAAACGCGGAAGTGAGTTAACATTTTAGCACTCCCGGTTCCCTCGCTCTAAAGTCTATGGGATTTTTTCACTAAATCGCCTGAAATAAGGTCTGTGGTGAACAAAGCCTCTAATTATTTTCACGTTTTGATCTATGACATAAAACACACAGTTATAACCTTATTTGCAACTTTATTATGTCTGCATGTGTTTTTTTTAAACTTTATATTGGCTTCGAAATGTATAGATTTTGCATTAACTTGATAGACAAAACGTGTAAGGGTCTAACTCTTTGTTGAACACAGATCTTATTTTTTGCGATTTTCCAAAAGTCTATGGGGAAAATGCATAGCTTTTCGATTGAGGGATGCACCGCTAGCTTCCGAGTTGTCCAACAAAGTGATGTCATCACTTCGGCACTCTATTACCAACGCATTCTCACCCCAAGGCGTCACCTTTGACCATGCTTCAATATTTGACGTTTTTGGCGCCCTTTAGCGTCACTTACATGACGCGATCCTACAGCGTCATCTAGCTGACGCTAAAGGAAAGCGTCAGTTAGAGGACGCAGTTAGGTTTAGGTGTGGGGGTAGGGTACACGCGATCCTAGGGCGTCATCTAACTGACGCTAAAGGGCGCCTAAAGCATCAGATATTGAAGCATGTCCAAATGCTTCCCAAGGCGTCAGTTAAGTGACGCCTTGGGGGTGAGAATGGGCTGCTATTACGGCTATTCAAAAAAACGTTCCTGTATTATTCCTCCTGTATAATGTTCCACTCTGACATTATATTTCTCTGTAGGTTATTGTAGACCTACATGTTTTATCCATTAAAGTAATGTATTTAGTTTAATATTTATGTTTACATGTTTTTTTAATCTATGTTGATTATGAAAAGTGAACCGCATGCATGAGTATAATAAGATGCGCAATATATCAGGAGACCTAATTTTGACCACAGTAAGTTTTGTTTTGTATAAAGCATTTCTTTCAAGCAAATTTTGTTTTGTATAAATTGTATCTTAATTTTAATCAATGTTTCATCAACCAGTTTACCTTGATTTGAAAAATAAGAAGCAAATATAAGCTATAAGCAATATAATCAGCACATGGATGCGCTGGCACGCTCGTCTCATAAATGAACCGAAACTCGAAAATATATTGAAAATTTATAGAAATCTTGAAATGTCTACTTTTAACAGCAATTCAAAATGAAAAGAAACAGATAACTCTCTTATAGCCTAATCCATGTAGTGCATTAGCCTATTCCATAGGCACGTTCACAATACTGTGAAGTGGCGAGTCAGCATCGACAACTTCATTTTTCAGTCAAGAATGACACACAAAACACTATTAATAAACAATTAAAATGTCTATATTGTACACATTCGTTACTTTTGTACCAGGCAATAACTTGTATAATTATGGTTGTTCTATAAAGTTCTTGGCAAAAAAAAGACAAAAAACCAAAAGAAGCAACTGTGCTTATTATTAGTATTTATTTTACCGTCTATAGTAGGGTTTTATGTGCATGCTCAAAGTCTTCTCGGATGTTTAGTGTATCTCTATGGCAGAATTACAGTGCCACATACTGGTCTGGGATGTATACTACATCGCTTTGAGTCAGTTTCGTGTGTAAGCAGATATTTTTCGAGACACCGCCGTGGTTACAGACTTTTTTTTTAGAACGAGGAAAAAATAACATTGGATAGGGAAAGCTCTGGCTTCGTGTTGATGTGGCCTTAAATTCCTTTTTGCATGTAAGATCACTTCAGGGGTCAAGCAAAGGTCTAGAGCCATAATTTATGACTATATAGTAAGAAAATAAAACGACAGTTTATTCTGATTGTGCATTTCAGAACTTTATTCAAAATCTGTGCAAGTAAACACCCAAATGAAATGTATTTTTAGAAATAATGATACACAATAATACTCAGATGTATTGCAGTTAGCCTGCATGAAAACAATATTTTAAAACCAATTGAAGTCTTTGAAGCATCGTTGTAATCCATTTTTGTACTGTACAGTACGGAACATGATTGTTTACCTGTTTGTTTGTTTTTTTCCTTGTAAAAAATAAAATTGAGTAAAAACAAAATAAATATCTTCATATGCACATTTGTTTCAAAAGTTCAAACATTTTGCCCAGCGGTCTATTTCTCATGACAAACATACAGATCATATATATATATAAATATATATATATATATGCTTAAGACTTTGAATTTCCCCATGTCCAGTAATACATAGGAACCTTCTCATGCATCTGCATGCAACAGGCAGCAGTGTACTCTTAAATATCTGACATAACACAAAATTTTGCAGAACAGATTATCATAGTTTAATCAGGAGACACATGCAAAAGAAGGACAAAAATCATCCTCTAAAGTACATATTCACATGGCATTTACTTTGAAGTCTCTTTAAGAAATTTCAAAACTAAAATGCTTTTCATTCATACAAAATAGCTGTCTTTCATAAAGATTATGCTATGTACATAAATATAGTTTATAACGAGTCTTTAAATTGATGAAAAACAACATGTCAAATGTAAGACTGCAAAACATCACATGAGCAAACATTTCTGTGGGAATGGCCTTAATATCACAAACACTCCCTTTATTAGATCAACATGTCTATTAACTTGACAGACAGCTGAGATTGGGATGATTTGTCTCAAGTCGATGCAACAATCTCTTGCATAATAGAACAACATTTTGTGACATGCTAATACCAAGACCTGTTCATAAAATACACAAATACAAAACATATGAGAGGAAAAAAAGCAGTCATTTGTAGTAACTCTTGTGATTTTCATTCATCATCTTCTAGAGTATTGTAAAAACCCAATGCGGTCTCGATGGGTAAATGCTGAGAATGCGGAATAACAAATAAAGCACATCACAAAATTGTTTTCAATGGAAGAAAGAGATAAATTAAAGAGGAGATTGATAAAGTATACACACTTCACATACCATATAGATATCAAGACGCCATGTTTTAACACTGATGGATTCATCCAAACATGAAGATATACAGCTTTAAAACTGCTGTTAGTTTATCCGGACATTACAGAACCAATTAGAGATCTTTTTTTTTTTTTTTTTTAATGTATAAATATGGTGACAAGCCTTCCAGGCATGGACAAAAGTAACAATCCATAGTTATCTCTTTGTTTCATCATGGTAAATTGAAGAATATTCACTAACTGCTGAGGCACAATCTGTTTATACAGATTGTCATGTGCATTGTTGCATCATAACTCACTGCCTGAGGCCAAAAGTCTAACCATGTGTGGAAAACGGAGTGGGAACTGATATTGTTACGAATACATGAGGACAAATCCGTCAAACACCTTTCATAAAAAAACATATTTTGTTTGCTGCTTAGAATGCAAGAAAGAAATCAGCCAGAAAGCAGTGCTTATAAATATTCAAATTAACTTTGGTTTCATGGTCTTTTTGTGAACTTAATGACATGTAATTCAGGTGAATAATGTGTGATGCCTCAATAAAAACAAAAGTAGCAATCGGGTAAGTTGAGAGAATAAACACATTTCTAGTTCAAGCACAGATACTGGTTCACAAACTCAAAACTAGTACTTTTTTCAATGACCCGTGTAGCCGTGGTGAGTCACAACTAAGTGTTCCATGGTAATTCTGTGAATTTTGTTTCAAAGTTCAAAGGCCTCAGTATTACCTGACGACTCGTTTTTGACCTTTGTCTGCATTAGTCTCGAGCCTGCCTCCAGTCCCTCCCCCTCTTTAACCAGTTGTGCATTGCTCCTCTGGAGCATATAATACAAAATAGGGTTAGTCTTGGTAAAACGAGGTGAGTCTGGCCCATACTTTTGTGTTTGATCGTCTCCATTAACCATCCTTGCAGGGCCCTTCAAATCCTTTATGATGCTGTAATCGATTTTTGGCCTTGCAGGCTCCTGCTGTGTAATATGGGGAGATTCATGCCTAAACGCTTGTTTTTTTAGGAGATGCATTGCTGGGGCTTAGGCTCTGGTGAAAGTTTTGAAGCTCACCTTCATTACATGGTTGCTTGATTGTATTCCCATTCAGCACGGCATGTGACGGTGAACTGAATGTACCCCTGGGTTGAGACAATTCCTTCAAGCAGTTGTCTGAAAGAAGCAGCTGCTTTAGAACATTGAAACTTCGGTTTTCATTAGACTCATTTGGTGGAAATTTAGCTGGAGGACTGTCTGCCTCTGGGGGGCTAGATGGGTCTTTGGCCTCTTTTGTCTCTCTGGTCTCTAGATGTCCAACAGCAAAACAACCACTGTCGTCTTCTTTTGTGACACCAGAATGCTCCAAATCCCTGGCCTGGTGACTCGAGGAGTTATGATGTTCTAGTTCTACCGAAAATTTCCGCTTCTTTGGGATCGTTGGTCCCTGGATTTCAACTGATTCTTCTTTGACACAACCCCTCTTTAGGTCCTCTAACTTGTTTGGCTGAAGGGTTTTGTTGGGTCGTTTCTTTAGGAGATGACAGAGAAGACCATCTCTGGTGGAAGCCTCTGGGGACAGTGGTTCTTGCTTGATGTTTTCGTGAGAATGAAAACTGGTGCTTTTTCTAGGCTCCAACCCTGAATTCTGGCATTGCTTTGATATTTTGTTATAGTCATACGCATGACCCTCATCAACTGGCTCAGTTTTTATTGTAATTTCCAAAGGAGGACCATTTGCTTGGCCTATTGCCTGATGTGTTTGTTTTTCCAAAGAATTGGTCTTGCCATGTTCTCGTTTTCGTTTACTGCCTACCTTTTCATTCTGAGGAGCATTGCCCAGAAGAAGCTGAAGAACTGTACGTCTTTCAAGCAGATTCTCAATTTCTGAGACATGCTGTGCTGCTTCGGGCGCAGTTGAAGTTTTTGCCTTGGCCTCTTCCCACAGTGGGTTATTACTCTGAATTGGCGCAGTGAGTCTTTCAAGTAAAGTTGGAGGATGGTTAACTTTCAGTTCTTGGGTCATGAGTTTGATAGGGGGTAAAGTTGCCTTTGCTGGAGGAGAAATGTCAGGGTTTTGTTTTCCACACTGAGCTAAATTCTGCAAAAGTTTACTAGCACTAAAGGCAGGTTCTTTAACTCTTACATCACTTGTGGATTGTTTTGCTTTACAAAGATCCAAGGGGACAGACTGAGAATGGGGAGACCCATAAAGTGTATATGGAGATGCACTGCTGTTGGAGTCTCGGCTTTGACTGTACGTTGGCAAAAGTTTGGGACTTCTACAGCTCAATCCACAGTGGCCACTAAGTTCACTTGTGTTTTTACACCTAGCGGTACTGAAAACACTGTGGCTACTTGTAGATGCACTAGTGACCTTAGGGATTACATCATGCAGCAAATCTGGATTATCCAGACCTTTGTTTGCTCTCTCGTTATTTTTGTGATCCAAGAGTAACTGTAATAGAGTGACCTTGTGATGAGGTTTCATCTCTGGACATGCATCCACTTTGACAGGTAGAGTCTCAGGCTTCCACCTATTTAATGAAGACTCTGGGATCCTGTCCAGTACAGGTGAGGAGGAAGTTGATACTGATGTTTGTACATTTGTTCTGCTCTTTAAAGAAAGGTCAATAGGAGAGCAGCTAGAGTAAGTGCTCTCAGCATCACTGCTGTCTTTTGTGAGACTACTGTCAGGGTTTGAGTGCTCGCTGTCTGAAAAAAGCGGAGAGGCCAGAGTGCCAAGGGTACAGAGGTCATCTTTCAAGTGACCCTGTCCATTAATTCGCTGTGAGGTGTTGTGACTGTTGAGAAGTTGAAGTAGGAGACTGCTGCAGTTCTGTGACGGTCTGCCTTGTTTCTCAAAAGGTCGACGCTCTCGAAAGCGATTTCCTGTCCGCATGGAACTTTCTGTCCTTCTTTGCCCTGAAGTTAGGCTTGGACTCTGTCTGCTGGAGCTTGTTGACAACAGTTGTGAAGAAGGTATTCCATTCTTGGTGTGTAAGACGCTAAGTCCATGAGACTGGCCTGAAGTTGTAGGTTGTTTATCTTGTGTCTGCTGTGTCGCCATGGCTGATAGTCTTTCACTAGCTGATCGTCCAGAGAGTTGGGTTTTAAGGGCATGTTCTCGAGAGTACTGTTGCAGGTGGGCCTCACTGGAGAGCAAAAGAGCCAGTTGACTACATGCCACACTTGGTTTGGGTGATGGAGCGGGGCTTGATCTGATATTTACCAGGTTTGCCACGGCTTTTAGGCGCTCGGTACAAGATAGAGACTCGGGAGATGGGGAGGGAGTACTGTTCTGCAGTGCCTTAGGTGATTCTGAAAAGCTTTCCTGGCTAGACCGTCGATGTTGATAAGGCACACTGTTGCTGTGATTTTGCATTTTGCTCTTGCTCACTAACCCTTTGAGGTGACTCAAGGCAGGTCTGTGGCAAGGCACATCTGCACTGTCCTCTTGTGCAGGCTTGCTTATCTGGCAGGGGGTGTCCAGTGGCCTCAAGCCTTGGATAATCTGCTGTGGCAGGGTCACGTTTTGAAGTCGAGAACTGAAAGACTGCAGCAAACTAGCTAGAAGTGTACTCTCTCCTTTATCCTGTGATGAGCCATTCTGGCCACTATGGTGGTCTTCACTTTGCCCGTTCAGGGAAACGGAGGGTGCTGTTCTCCGTTGAGTCTCACTCTCTGTCCAGGCCTCTGAGTTGAGTAGACGAGCCTTTCTGAGGTGCTGCGAGGCTCCACAGTGGGAATTTGTTCGGTTCTGCTCCTGTCGAGTGCCATTAGGCTGTGCATGCTCTGTCCCGCTGTCCTTATTCTTCTGCTCTTGGCTTCCACTCTGTGTTGCTGCCGCACCCTGTCCTCCTGCTACCTGATGCATGAGTAAACCTTCCAGATATGTTAATACAGCAGAATCCTGGTGTGTTTCAGGGCCAGGCTCTTCCCCATGAGTCATGTTCAATACTATAGTCCTTTGTATGGTTGGCCACTACAATAGAGGGGAAAATCGTTCTGTTATGTTCTACCAAGAGACCTTACAGTTTTTAGCTTCCAAACCTTGTTTTTTTTTTAGGTAAAAGTAAGGCCTAATGTAGATTCACAAGACATTCCCCCAAACAGGAGGCAAGACTATTGTTTATAATCATGCCATTGTTACGAAAAGTACAGGATTGTAATGCAGTCAGTCTTGTGGGATTCCATGGCACTGGTTCTGTACTTCAAAGCTTCAGGGTTGTGAATAAAATCACTGCCACATCTGTCCACAAGGTCAGCTGGTGACGGCCCTGCACAAAAGAGAGAAACAAACTATTAATATTATTGTATTCAACAAAGCAAATTCATCTAATCTTTAAGAAGCAGAATCATATTTAACATGTTGATAAGTTTTAGTGGCAAAAGACACTGTAAATGTGATTAAACAGCTATTATAAGTTATTTAAGATAAAACTTGCAACAAGCAAGGCCAAAAAATCTAAATGCAAGTGTTTTGACAACCATTTCACATGAAAAAGTCATAACCAAAGATGGACCTTTTCATATACTGAAAGATTCACTCAAGACTACTACTGTATCCTATGACAGCAATTACAATCTGTTTCTTGCCTGAGTTTCTTTTTTTCCTTCCCAGACTCTTAAGCAGAAGGAATTAGCTTGCCGAATCTCATTAAAACTGAATACACAGGACTTTAAAGACTACTTGATTGATTTGACAGACATTAGGTACAAAAATAACAAAGCAGAGTATCCTGAAGAGGATTAAATGTTTTAACAAAATTTTTGCCAAGACAGACCCACAGAACTGCCATTCGAGAACTCAATTCTGTGTAAGACAACCACAGACAGCTAACGGGTACTTTGGAACTGTCTTTCATATCATCTATAATGACTGGCAGGTTCAAATATTAAACCAAGATATAAGCAAAAATGCCACAGAAAGTGGCAAATGTATGTTATTATTAAAAAAAAACACACTGTTTAAGGCTATATCTCTTATCACTGATTTGCTGAAAACATTTACTACATGTTGCTGGCTGCTTTTACAGACATAGGTTAAATCGCTTAAAGGTTTTACGAAATGGCTAAAGTTCTTTGCAATCAGGCACCTGTGTAATGTATCTCTCTCACACCCTCTATGCAGACAGTGTCAGTGCCCGGAGAAGGAACATCCACATAATCCAGCATAGTCCTTCACTTCCATGTTACCACAGTTGCTAATCTCAAAATATACCACCCCTGGATCACACAGTAACATTGGCTCTGTAGAATGACACATTTTTTGTGTATATGAGCAAGCCTCCTAAACACTATACTCACCACACAACTCACTGAAGTACAGTGAAAGTCACACACAAGCCTCTTGGTACACCAGTACCACAATTATGTCTATACATAAGAAATTGAAAACATAATTTGAGATTGAACTGTAAGCACTTAATCATGGAATACACACAAGGCTGACTTTGTCAGTGCTCTATGATCAGAGTGAAGGTCAATGGCTACGGTTGATTTGTTCTTCTAATAATTGGCACCTCTGGTCGTTCTACTTTGGCTGACAGGGAGTGGCCCGTACGGGATGACCTTATCAAGCTATCGGTCACAGAGATGTCAGAGTGACAGGGTCGAGAAACTCCTGTGGCACAAAACTAAATACCTCTAATTTGGAATAAAGCTACTGCTAGAGACAAATTACTGAATGTAGTAATTTAGCAAGAAGTCTTAGCAAGACATTTTCAGCTATTTTGGTAATGGTATGGGCTAAAACTACTTGTCAAATAAATAGTTAGGAATTTCATTAAAAAAATTAGTTGGAAGCAGAAATCAGACTGTGAAAATTAAAGTTGTCTCCTCCTGACCAAGCGTAATATCTAAAGTGTCAAAGACTGGAAGAGGGTAATTGATTTGGGCCAACAACAACTTCGTCCTATACTTGTGTAAATCGGCCACTGTTGTCCTAATCCAATCAAAAGAGGAAACGCAATACTCACAACTCCTTCACACTGTTAAACAGATAAACAATTATTTTATCACACTTTTCTCATCTCTAAAGATAAATCGTTATTAAAAACTGCCATTTCATGACAGCTGTGAGCTTCAGAATAACTGTGTAAGGACCGATTGTAATAGCCTCTCTTAAAACCTAGTCATATATGAGTCCGTTCACTCAGTTCTATTCAAGGTTTTTTCATCACAATATTATCACCATCAGTGCAGGGAGAAGACACTCCTGAGTGAGTTACCTGAGAAATAAAAATCCCTTTAAAATGAGTGGCCTGATATAAACTGAGAGGATCTGATATCTGGACTGGATACCTCATTCCTCAATTGCAAGTTTGGAAGATTAATTGACCCCCAACAAAATACCAGATCATAAATTACATCCACAGTCCAGAAACTGTAATCCATTTAGGCTATTTAAAATGCATGATGAGGCAAAAAGAGCAAAACCTGCTGCATGCCCTGTTTGAAGTCAAGGTCATTTACTCCGCCGGGGCTGTTTGAGTTGATGCAACAGCTGGCATCCATACAAAGCATTAGGTCCTAATAAAAAGCGACAAAGCTGCCCTTGTGATGTGCGTTCATACCTGGCGTCTAGCTGATGTGTTCTCGAAATAAAAAGGAATCTCAGACATAGTTGTGCCACTGCAACTGCTAAGTTGTTGGCACAAAAGCCTGTGGAACTACAACAACACATTCCTAAGATAGCGTTGGGTGACTCAGTCAATCAGGGCCATGCATCATTCAAACTAGGTCACTGTGACCTACTTACAAACAAGCATTATGGGCATCATGCATTGACATTTCCCAGCTGGGGCACACCCCTTTTGTTAGGGCTTTGCCCAGTGCAATCTCTGACTCCTAGTAAAAGCATGGTCTGACCTACATTATGACGACCCTATGATGAGCTACCCTTTCACATGGGCAAGCATGGGGCAATACCAGCTTGTTTCAGCCAAGCAGACGGAACCCTTTCCCAAACGGCAGAAATCTATACAAGGGCCCCTGCATGTACAATCACAAGACTCCAAACATAATTCCAGAGTCCTGACACAAGTAATAGTCTTGACCTTATACTTGTAGATTTATGATGGCAGCAAAATGTTAACAGGAACACTTAGAGAAGACTAAGCTGGTTCATCTTCAACTACAGAATAACATGTATCTTTGTCAGTTTTCTTTCAGCCCAAAAACAAATGCCACACTGAAGTGATACCGAATGCACTAAAGCTTGTCAAGGAAACATGTAATTAATGGCCACAACCAGGAAATGAGAACAAACTAAATATTTGTACTCTTAATTTACTCTGGTAAATGGCCCAATTTCCGGGGTTGGAAATGACTTGAGGAATGTGAGCATGCGAATCAGTCTGTGCCCAAAAAGAAAAGAAAAAAAAAAACCCTGATGATAAAAATACCAAAAAACACTGAGTACTTTAGTTTTGGCTGAACTTGTACCTGACCTCCAGAAAGCTATGACCTTTTTTAGGCTTCACACAGGGAAAAAACAAAAAACAAATTTGCATTCATAGACATTGTGAGAAAAAGTCAGATAGAAACAAATAGCTACACAGCGAGAGTCCATGGCCCTTTAAAAGTCACCCTTCGCCTTAACTCAAGAGATCATGTTTATCAGGATCATAGTTTATGCCAGTCATTATGTAAACAGCTCTGACCAAATATAGGAATCGACTGCCAGTACTGCAACGTGCAACTGTACTTGCAAAACCAAACACAAGTTCATTTGACAAAATAAACAAAAGTCACATGGTGCGGACTAAAGTGCAATATATCAGTGGTATGAAAGTCCAAATCGAGAGGTAACCAAAGAACCCTTTTTTTAATAAAATAAAAATGCACTGTACAGTTGCCTTAAGGGTCAGAAGAAAGGACAGCATGTCCTCATGTCATCTGTTTGAGTCTTTAGAGATAACTAAGCAATGTTCTCAATCAAAACAGACAGCTTCCACTTTTTACAGGATGTGATCTCATCAGTTACTGGCAGACAGTACAGGTTATATGTCAGGCACGATGGGCCTAATCCAGAGGTTCTCAAACTTTTTGTATTGTCCACAACAATCGATGGCCCCATGGTTTTTCCAGTTATTTGTGATTTACTGGATAATATATATATATATATATATATATATATATATATTATATATTGTTCTTAGTCCCAAAGTCCATTGGTTTCTTTAATTGCTTTTTGGTAAAATGCCTGACATAAGCATTATTTTCATGTTTATTCTAAAATGTAAAATACATCAGTAATACCACCCTCATTGGTTTTTTTCAGCTTTTTCAAGTCTTGAAAAAGACTATAGTGGCTTAATTTGACAATATATTTGCGCCCCTGTAAACTATTCAACTCAAACTTTACAACTTGTAGACTTTAAATAAATACTAAAAGAGCTGTCATGCGACCATGGACCAGGAGTTAGTTAGTTTATAGCCTAACTCATTTTTTTACCTCCAGTGATTGCATCAAGGCTTTAAAATGTATACAATTTAATCGTGATGAACAAAATGTGAGCTTACAGAGCTTATTTTCTGCAATTATCTAAAAGCCAGTGGGAAAAAAAAAATCCTGCTGTTTTGTCGAGGGAACCAGGGTGATGCAAACTTTTGGGTTGGCCTACAGAATTACGTCATTTCAGCAGCACTCCATTAAGACACTGATAAGGCTAGAGACTGTTCTTGATGTTAAACATATTTAACTGATTTCTTTGTTCAACTATTTAAATAAAGGGATAGGGGATACAACATGCAAGTTAATTTTCAACAACCTAAAACCATGGAAACATTTGAAACTTTTCACACAAATGAATCTATAACAGCAGCAAAATAAGAAAATATGAAGTATTAAGACTCATCCACGACTTCAGAAAGCTAAAATTCATAAAGGTTCCAGCAATGTGAAAGATATTTCTGCCATGCACACACTCATATACAATATACAATCTTACCTTCTTACGCAGCTGTGACACCAAGAACAGGTACAGTGTAGTAATCAATTTGCTCTGCAGGCTGTAAGGCTTTGTCTGAATACTAATACACCTCAACAACATCCTGCCCCTCTTTGCTCTCTCCCTCTGTCTCTCCCTTCTTTCTTTGGGGTTGACACCCTTCAGTGCCCTAGCCCTGACCAGTGAAGGAGGGGGGCAGCGGCTTGTCCTCTAGGCAGATAACCAAGGCCACTAATCAAGTGTGCGAGCACCCGGGTGGGGGATTAGGCGCTTTCTCTGAGCAACTAAACACTGAAAGCAGCTAAGTGTGTGCACAACAAGGT